CTTCATCTAATTATGCTGTAAGTTTGAACAATTTTATCTATCAAAGGAATACAAATGTGAATTTATTTTTTGGGGGTGAAATAGAGAAATAGAATTGATTTTTCCCTTAGACATACTGAATGCCTTTATTTAAATTTTTAAAAAACATTTTTATTGATATATAATAGTTGTACATATTTTGCGGGTACATGTGATATTTTGATCCCTGTATACAATGTGTAATGATCCAATCAGGGTAATTGGGATATCTATCACCTCAAACATTTATCTTTTTTGTTTATGAAGTTCTTTTATCTTCTTCCAATATTAGATGAACACAACTAGTTGCTTCTTAGTGGAGAGGTCATCACTCAGAAAATAATTAAAGACCATAGAGGAAGGGATCTCTCACACTTTGGAGAACAAAATGCATTAGCAACTGAGGTAAAAAAAAAAAAAAAAAATTACAAGTGAATTTTATACTGAAAACGGCAAGTTAAGAATTTGTCAGTAACTCTATTTCTCAATCTCATCAGCCCACAGGAGGCAAACACAGGCCTGTCAGGATGTCCATGGATCTTGACAGGAGGCCATCTGCTTCCAGCATCACTCAGGAAAGAACTTCTTTCATGGTAAAGAGGGTAGAGGGCCACCTAATGGCTTTCTATAGGAAATACAATCATACGGTTTTCATGCCACCATCTGTCCTTACTGATAAGAGCTCCAAGAATATGTCTCTGAACAATGCAGAATTGATATTTTACATTTCTTGAGTAGAACAACTTTGTACTTACTTTTTTTTTTTTGAGACGGAGTCTCGCTTTGTCACCCAGGCTAGAGTGCAGTGGCCGGATCTCAGCTCACTGCAAGCTCCGCCTCCCAGGTTCACGCCATTCTCCTGCCTCAGCCTCCCACGTAGCTGGGACTACAGGCGCCCGCCACCTCGCCCGGCTAGTTTTTTGTATTTTTAGTAGAGACGGCGTTTCACCATGTTAGCCAGGATGGTCTCGATCTCCTGACCCCGTGATCCGCCCGTCTCGGCCTCCCAAAGTGCTGGGATTACAGGCTTGAGCCACCGCGCCCGGCCTGTACTTACTATTTCTAATACTTTATCTGCAGATACTTTTGAATTTCTACAAATGCACTCATGTCACAAGTAATAATGATTTTGATTTTTCCTTCCCAATTCTCATATTTTATTTTTCTTGTGTTACTGTACTGGTTAGAGCTTCGAGCACAATGCTGAGTAGAAGTGACAGTGGATCTCTGTCTTGTTCCCAAACTCAAACTTCTAACATTCTACCATTAAGAAAGTGGTTTTCTGTTGACTTTATCAGTGTTCAAGAAGTTTCTCTTTCCAGTTTTCTCAGAAGTTTTAAAAAAATGAATGGGTATTAAATTTTATCAAATGCTTTATCTCCTCCGTTGATTAAGATGATCACAGTATTCTCCTTTTTTTTTTTTTTTGAGATGGAGTCTTGCACTGTCGCCCAGGCTGGAGTGCAGTGGTGTGATCTCGGCTCACTGCAACCTCTGCCTCCCGGGTTCATGCCACTCTCCTGCCTCAGCCTCCTGAGTAGCTGGGATTACAGGCACCCACCACCGCACTCAGCTAAATTTTTTGTATTTTTAGTAGAGACGGGGTTTCACCATATTAGCCAGGATGGTCTCGATCTCCTGACCTCATGATCTGCCCACCTCAGCCTCCCAAAGTGCTGGGATTATAGGTGTGAGCCACTGCACCTGGCCTAAAAAGGTTATGTTACCAGTGAAGCCACCTGGGGCCTCGAGTTTTCACTATGACAAAACTTAAATTAGTATTGTTTTTAAAAATGGATACAGAACTATTCAGGCTTCTTACTTCTGAGTCAATTTTGGCAAGTTGCATATTTTTCTTTTAATGGTCCCATTCCATCTGTTTCATTTTCAAATTCATTCACATAAAGTTGTTCATCAAATATCCTTCTGGAGGAAAAAAATGTCTGCGGGATTTGGAGGAATGCCCCCCTTTTTATTTCTTACATTGGCTACATATTCCTTCTCTCTTTTTTCCTGGTTAATCTTGCCAGGGGTTTGTCAATATTATTCTTACTCTTTTCAAAGATCCAATTCACAGTTTTTAAGATCCTCTCTACTGTACTTCTTCCCTTAGATAATTAATTTTTGCTCTTATTTATATTTTTCTTTCTTCTACTTCTTTAGGTTTAATTAGCAGTTCTTTTTCTGAGTTACTGAGAGGAATGTTTTTTCTTTTCTAATATTGCTTTTAAAGCAGTGATTTTCAACCTTAGTTGCACACTGGAATCACCTGGAGAGTTTTCAAATGTTTGGAGTGCACCCCTAGAGGTTCTGAGTCAAATGGTCTGAAAAGTGGCTTGGATATCAAAAGCTCCCCAAGTGATTCTAGGTGCAGCTAAGATTGAGAACCACAGATTTAAAGCTATAACCTCTAAGTACAACTTTAACTGCATCCCACAAGTTTTCAATATTTTCTTCATCAACTAAATAATCTCAAAATTTATGTTCTGATTTAATTTATATACATTTTGAGTGCGGTGGTTCATGCCTGTAATCCCAGCTGAGGCGGGTGGATCACTTGAGGTCAGGAGTTCAAGATCAGCTTGGCCAACATGGTGAAACCCCGTCTCTACTAAAAATACAAAAATTAGCCATGCATGGTGGCACGTGCCTGTAATCTCAGTTACTTAGGAGGCTGAGGCAGGAGAACTGCTTGAATCTAGGAGGCGGAGGTTGCAGTGAGCCAAGATCATGACACTGCACTCTAGCCTGGGCGACAGAGAGAGACTCAGTTTCAAAAAAAAGAAATAATAATTTATATGCATTTCAAAAATAGCAAATGCAATGCATGGTTTGAGAAGTCAGGTAAATGGTACCTTTGGGGAAGAGGCAGGGGGTTATGAGTGAGGGGAAACACAAGAGGAACTTCTAAAGTATTGGTTAATATTAACTCGTGTTTTGAGTGAACAAGAGAATGGAACAGATGGAAAACTATATACAACTTGCCAAAACTGACATAGAAGAAATAAGGAGCCTGAAATGTTCTGGGTGAACAAGAGATAGTATTACCAATACTCTAGACATGTTCAATTTGTGATAATTCACTGAGCTACACACATAGGATTTGTAAATGTTTCTGTAACTTTATATTACACTTAAATATACTTTTTAAAGAGAGAAAACGGATCCCATACAAAGAGTGGGAATTATAACAGCACTAGTCTTCTCAATATTATACTGGACGCTAGAAAAAATAGTATAATGTCTTCTAAATTCTAATGGAAAATGATTTTGAACCTAGAATTCTGTAGTCGGACTTTTTTTTTTTTTTTTTTTTTTTGATACAGGGTCTCACTCTGTCACCCAGGATGGAGTGCAGTGGTGCAATCTCCACTCACTGCAACCTCCGCCTCCTAGGCTCAAGCCATTCTCCTGCCTCAGCCTCCTTATTAGCTGGGACTACAGATTTGTGCCACTAACCCAGCTAATTTTTATATTTTTTGTAGAGACAGGGTTTTGCCATGTTGTCCAGGCTGGTCTCAAACTCCTGAGCTCAAGTGACCCACCCACTTCAGCCTCCTAAAGTGCTAGAAATACAGGTGTGAGCCATAGCACCTGCCCCCAGAAATTCAATCAAATTGTAAGGATAAAATAAAGATATTTTCAGTCAGGAGAGCGCACAGTAAAGTTATCTCCCAGGCATCTTTTCTCATAAATCTGGAGAATGTGCTCCAGTAAAAAGAGGGAATGGATAGGAAGATGAAGACATGGGATCTGGGAAACAAAGACTTCAATATAGGAGGAAGGCAAAGGAAGTTTCCAAATGACAGTTGGGCAGCAGGCCCCAGGAACAAGTGCACTTGGGGGCAGGAGGCAGAAGGGTTCTAGGGTGGGCAACTCCAAAAGAAATTCAAACCAAGAGAACACCTTCCTGTGTGTGAGCATTGTGAAATTTCTCAGTTCTGTCACAGTACAGTGATACTTTATTTTATTTTATTTTTTACTGTTCTAAAGGTACTTCGGCAAGAGTATAGTGATAAATCAGGGGTAGGCATATAAAAAAATCAAACAATTAAAAAACCAAAACATGGAAAATACTACATGTAGGATAAGCAAAGAATGATCCTTCTACCCAAAAAATGTGGTAGTGTAATCACTGTTCAATGCAGCTGTAAATAAGAGTTTTCTGGCCATAACATAAATAGGGATCACTGATTTAGCCATGCATTGTGATACAATGGTATTAAATGAAAGAGAAGAAGGGGCTTTTGTATGCTTTTGTGGTATGAGGGGAGATGCTAGGGGAGGCCATGTAACACAGTATATTCTCATCTTCTACAGTAGGACATCAAAAGAGAAAACTGAAAAACCAAGTGTAAATACAGAGAAGTAAAAAACAACTAAAACAATTTAAATTGTGGGACATGGGGTGGGGAAGGTGCAAGGCAGGCTATTGCTGCTTTCTGTTTTAAAAACTGTAGCACTTTTTTTGTCTTTTTCAATTATTCGTACATAGTATTACCATAAAGATAAAATTAAACTAAGAAAAAATCTATGGAAATAAAAGAGAAAATCTCAGGGCACTAAAAAATCACTTTCAGCTTTAAAACTTTGGATAATCACCAGAATCATCTCTTGAACAAGAATAAGCATATATGTAGCTCACATCAGTAACCATTATTAATTAAATGTTGTTTTAGTCCCAAATTCTCCCCATATGAAGAGTCAAATTATCTATAGATACATGCAAAATTAATACAGGATACATGCAAAGCCCCCCGCCGGAAGCCAGAACATACAGAACAAATGTTTTCACTTTATCATGCTAGACTGAGTTTATATTATTGTAACTGACATCTAACTTTTCAGGAACACATATGAAGTAAATTTAATCTGTGGTGGAAACACAGGATTATTCTTTTATCTTTTAGGAGCTGATACTCTATTAATGGATCTAGCGCCTAAATCAAAAGAACAGAGAGAGTCTGTATAAGCAAAATTACCTGAAGAAAGTCACGAAGAACTGTACCAGGTCCATAAAATTGCTGTGCTGGGAGAAGGCAATCTGTGACAGAAAAACAGATAGTGTGATTATGCAGGTCATGAAACCACCACGGATTCAGGCTTCTCATTTCAAGAGTTAAGCTGAAAACAGAGTTTACACTTTAAAGGAGTTAAGGAAACTTTTTTCACTTAAGGAAAAGTACCTCACCCTTTTAGTTTTCTTGTTTAGTTGCCAGCCCCATAGCAATATGCTAAGGCTTTAGCACGGCCTCCTGCAACCCCCTCTGAGCTTCATACCAGTTCTGAGGTTCTCTTCGTTTGACCCTGGAGACCCTTGCACGCCTCCATGAAGCCTGGCGCTCCCGCCCTGCGCCTCCACCCACACAAAGCTCTCCTTGTTTGCCTCAGTAGCGATTCATGGCTCTGCCTCCAGGTGGGCAGCCCCATTCTGTGCTCTTCATTCTGTCAACATTTATGTACTCAGTGTGTACTGACTGCAAGATATTGTCCTTTTTACAAAAAATTGTACCTCACATTTTGCTACATTGAACATCATCTGACAATACGTCATCAGAACTTAAATAATTTTATTATACAGTTAATAGTCTTCATGCCAAGAACATAAAAATACAACATATTTCATCAACTCTAAAATAACATTGGCTGAAAAAGGCAATATTCTGTGTATTATTTAGGAAAAACACTGTCAATTTAACTATGACATAATAATGCTTTTTAAGTCACTGACCATAAGACACATTGTGATTTCAGGGATATTAGTCCACAAAAAAATGCATACCTCTGAATTGATAAAATACGAGAATTGCATCCTTACTATCACCTACAATATACGTGCTACTAGCCAGATGTTGTGGTGGCTTGCCTGCTTTTTTTAGGGAACTCAGCTCTGTTTGGAGAGACAATGGTACTATCAACGAAACAATCACTGACCAAGGTGACAATCCCAGTACAGACAATTTGCATGACAAATACAGGAAGGTAAATGACCAGGATCTGCTTTCCTAGTCCCACACAACCCCAACCCTTGCACTGTTTTTAGAGCCAGACTCACAGGGGTCAGAAAAGAGACTTCCACTGTTTGCTTTCTTGATGGCCGTATTTTCTTTTTGACATTCCATAAACAAATAAGTTCCAACACTACTCAAGTCATAGTACATTATGGGGCTTGGAATTTGAAGCTTTTGTGTCCTCCCTCTGGCCACCATTTATAATAGGAAATACAAAGTTACATCAATTTCATATAATAAACAGAAACCCACTTTCTTTTCTTGTCCTTCATTTATCACAATAACCATTTCCAGCTCCTCGAGAGAAGGAAAGCTGAGGAATATGAGCCATGGTCCTCAAATAAAAGTTTTAAATAAGATTGGAGGACAATTATATAAACAAGGTCAATTGGAGGACAATTATATAAACAATGAATAATCCAAGTTATAACACATAAAGAGAAAGAAGGAAACAGATTAGAGAACACCCCAGCCCTGTCTGGATTTCAGTCTTTTAAAACGTGTGTCCTTAGTGTTTACACTTAAAAAATCCATGAGATACTTTTACTCCCTGCTAGATGCCAAAAACCACAGGATGCTAAGGGCACTGTCTGAGGACCTATCTGGTGTTCATGTGCCACACAACACTCCTCAGGGCAGCCCCCGCCTTTCCCCACATTGGATGCTAATGGTTATTAGCCTGATTTCTTGCTGAAGCAGGACAACTCCATGTTCATGTCCAAATTATAATCATAAAGAACCTCATATAAAACAGCTGCCAGTATGGCTGGTACCCAAGACTCTAAAGGGGTCCTCTTATGTTGAATCTTTATCATCTAAGTCTCCATAGCTACAAGATTGTGTGAGGAGGCAAAACTCATAAGATGAAAATGTTTACGAATGCACTGACCACTTAGAAGCATCTAACTCTGCTGAACACCCCACCCACTGTTGTCAGTCTTTGTTGGTCAATCTTTGACTGATAAGGTGATGAACTTATTGTTTCAAACTGAACACTTCTGAAAATGAAGGGGAGTGCTGTTAAAAATTACACTAGGTAACTAAAAATTACTCAATGTAAAAAGCATAAACTTGATAACAAGCATAAATTGGGCTTTCGCTACTCACAGTCATACAATGCAAACCAACTGTAAAATCAATTTTGCAAAGACAAGATTTTAGTGGAGGTGCCGTTGGAGAACTGCTCACACAAAACCATTGGCAAAGGAAGACTTGGCAGATTTAGCCCTTCAGTTATCAACTGAAGAAGGGATAAAGGATGAAGGCATAGGAAGTGTTTCATAATTCTCTGAACGAGATTAAGAGAGGACTTTGGGAAAACTGAGGAGTTTCCTGGCTGTTGCTTTTTACATCCTGCTGTGAAATCAGTCTCAAGTGAAGGACTCCATGATGCAGCTATCTGATTTCTGGGCACCTTGTGCACAACTGAAGCCACACCCCCATCTCTTTATCTTGCTCTATTTAATTCATAGCCCGTATCTGCACACTTACTTATAGCAAATAACATCTGTGAGGATTGACGACAGAGACTTCCCCTTATCCCCACTGACCATATATCTCCAGTGCCTAAAGCAGCCACTGATACATTAATTGGCACTTAATAAGCATTTGCTGAATAAATGCCAATACATTAACAAGAAAAATAATGATCTGTCTCATAGAACTCAGTAAGATCTGATTGATTTTTTTTTTCTTTTATGAATTTGACTCATGAAGCAGGATCATACCTGCTTCGTGATTGTAACTATAAATTTTGTTAACTCTAAAATTATTTTCCCATACTTTTTTGTTTCATTTTTAAAGACAATATCACAATCAAATCTTTCTTTCATAATTTATTATGGAAATGATGAAACGGATTTGGGGCCCTTTCTGATACTGAAGGTAACGAAAATTTCCTATATAAAAATCTATTTTAATACAAAGAAGAAATTCTAATTATATTTTATAAATAAAACTCATAATGTCATTCTTCTACATTTCCAAACAGTAGACACCATACTCCACAATCTAAGAAACCTAGAACTCACGTCCTAATACTTCCACAATCCAATTCCTTTTTTTTTTTTTTTTTTTTCTGGGTAACATGTTAGATTTTTTTTTTTTAATTTATTTATTATTATTATACTTTAAGTTGTAGGGTACATGTGCATAACGTGCAGGTTTGTTACATATGTATACTTGTGCCATGTTGGTGTGCTGCACCCATCAACTCGTCATTTACATCAGGTATAACTCCCAATGCAATCCCTCCCCCCTCCCACCTCCCCATGATAGGCCCCGGTGTGTGATGTTCCCCTTCCCGAGTCCAAGTGATCTCATTGTTCAGTTCCCACCTATGAGTGAGAACATGCGGTGTTTGGTTTTCTGTTCTTGTGATAGTTTGCTAAGAATGATGGTTTCCAGCTGCATCCATGTCCCTACAAAGGACACAAACTCATCCTTTTTTATGGCTGCATAGTATTCCATGGTGTATATGTGCCACATTTTCTTAATCCAATCTGTCACTGATGGACATTTGGGTTGATTCCAAGTCTTTGCTATTGTGAATAGTGCTGCAATAAACATCCGTGTGCATGTGTCTTTATAGCAGCATAATTTATAATCCTTTGGGTATATACCCAGTAATGGGATGGCTGGGTCATATGGTACATCTAGTTCTAGATCCTTGAGGAATCGCCATACTGTTTTCCATAATGGTTGAACTAGTTTACAATCCCACCAACAGTGTAAAAGTGTTCCTATTTCTCCACATCCTCTCCAGCACCTGTTGTTTCCTGACTTTTGAATGATCGCCATTCTCACTGGTGTGAGATGGTATTTCATTGTGGTTTTGATTTGCATTTCTCTGATGGCCAGTGATGATGAGCATTTTTTCATGTGTCTGTTGGCTGTATGAATGTCTTCTTTTGAGAAATGTCTGTTCATATCCTTTGCCCACTTTTTGATGGGGTTGTTTGTTTTTTTCTTGTAAATTTGTTTGAGTTCTTTGTAGGTTCTAGATATTAGCCCTTTGTCAGATGAGTAGATTGCAAAAATTTTCTCCCATTCTGTAGGTTGCCTGTTCACTCTGATGGTAGTTTCTTTTGCTGTGCAGAAGCTCTTTAGTTTAATGAGATCCCATTTGTCAATTTTGGCTTTTGCTGCCGTTGCTTTTGGTGTTTTAGACATGAAGTCTTTGCCCATGCCTATGTCCTGAATGGTACTACCTAGGTTTTCCTCTAGGATTTCTATGGTATTAGGTCTAACATTTAAGTCTCTAATCCATCTTGAATTAATTTTCGTATAAGGAGTAAGGAAAGGATCCAGTTTCAGCTTTCTACTTATGGCTAGCCAATTTTCCCAGCACCATTTATTAAATAGGGAATCCTTTCCCCATTTCTTGTTTCTCTCAGGTTTGTCAAAGATCAGATGGCTGTAGATGTGTGGTATTATTTCTGAGGACTCTGTTCTGTTCCATTGGTCTATATCTCTGTTTTGGTACCAGTACCATGCTGTTTTGGTTACTGTAGCCTTGTAGTATAGTTTGAAGTCAGGTAGCGTGATGCCTCCAGCTTTGTTCTTTTGACTTAGGATTGTCTTGGAGATGCGGGCTCTTTTTTGGTTCCATATGAACTTTAAAGCAGTTTTTTCCAATTCTGTGAAGAAACTCATTGGTAGCTTGATGGGGATGGCACTGAATCTATAAATTACCTTGGGCAGTATGGCCATTTTCACGATATTGATTCTTCCTATCCATGAGCATGGTATGTTCTTCCATTTGTTTGTGTCCTCTTTTATTTCACTGAGCAGTGGTTTGTAGTTCTCCTTGAAGAGGTCCTTTACATCCCTTGTAAGTTGGATTCCTAGGTATTTTATTGCCTTTGAAGCAATTGTGAATGGAAGTTCATTCCTGATTTGGCTCTCTGTTTGTCTGTTACTGGTGTATAAGAATGCTTGTGATTTTTGCACATTAATTTTGTATCCTGAGACTTTGCTGAAGTTGCTTATCAGCTTAAGGAGATTTTGGGCTGAGACAATGGGGTTTTCTAAA